AGAGGATTCAGTTCGGTGTTCGCGCGCCATCTGAAACGTGTGTGTGCGCTTCATGTGTGTGTGGCTATGCACGTAGAGAACAGCACGCGAGTAACAAATCGATTTCCCTTTGCCTTTTCTCTCTGGAATTGTTTAAAATTCGCTTGCTTGTGTAATTATGAACAAATGATAAACTTATACTCTATTATGGTTCAATTTTGCAATTAATCCACAGATCACATGCGTGCCAAATCGTGGGGCTTGGTCCGTACGGATCACGGATCAACTACGATCCGTTTAACCACTAATATATTCTATTATAGTTTTTATTAATATTTTGATTGAGCTTTTATTTTTTAATTTTCAGTTTTAATTTTAGTTAAATATTTAGTCATTTTGCTATTTGCTTTTGTCATTTTTATTAGTTTTTTACTATTATAATTATTTTTAGGTTTAATTTATTTTAGTTTTAGTTTTAGCTTTAGTTCAGTTTTAGTTTTTATTTACAGTTAGTAGTAAACTTTCTAATTTTTGTTTAGTTTGTTTTTCATCTAAGATATTAAGATTTTATTTTATTTCAGCTTTAACAAAAGCTTTTTAATAGTTTTATTTATAGTTAACAATAATAACTCTGAACGTGGTAAAATGTGTTCCAGAAAAGTGTTGCAAAATTCCTTTTTGTGTGAATTGTTTTTAATAGGGCTTTCAGTTGATTAAAAAATATATAATCTACAGTAATTATTTACATGACATAATGATGAATTAATCAAACTAATTGTTAAAAATATTTCATGCATGAATATTTGCAAAGAAAAGCCTCCATATGTTAACATGGATTTAATTTGGCATTGTTGTTTTAAATTATTAGTTGTGCTAAATTAACATGTTAAATTAACTTGTTCACAGTGTATGAGGCTGGCAAAATGGTAAAGTCTGGCATCCCCAGTCAGTATGCACACACCGTCTACAACCCAAGCATGTATGGCCAGCCAGCTTATGGAATTGGTGGAGCTGCGCCGGGCATACCCATGCTCCCTATGCCGGTGGGCGTTGCTGGTCCTCCCTCCTATGGCTATGGCAGAGACTTTGACAGAGCCAGCTCAGGTAGACTCGTCCTCTCTTTTCCTTAAAAACAGCAGTTTAACAACATTGTTTTACTTCAATAAGTGTAATTGTTTGATCATTTGTTCGCCCTGCTCCAGTTGGTGCAGGATCTCAAGTGCCGCTCCTGCAAGACCACGATGGTGGAGGAAGTAAGTGAGAGATCTTCACTACGTCACTCACTATATCGATCCATCTATAACATTTTAAGTGACTTTATCCCTTTGAAGCCTTCTGTTTCACATCTAATATTGGTGTTGTTTTTCAGCCCGTAGTGGATACCGTGTTCAGGCCGACCAAGATGGAAACCCAACTCGGGTGCTTTACTACATGGAGCGAGAGCTGGCCAACCATGACCCCAGTCGCCCAGTGAACACTCCAGGCAAATACAGTCGTCGTGAGTTCTGGAGATGGACACTATCTTTCACTCTGAGGGTTGGGTTATAACAAAGTGGTGCTTAATATGACTTGCGTAGGACATGTTCCTGGATCAAGATCCTCTGCTGGTTCCTGAACATTTAAATCAACCCATTTTTGACAGGATTAGGAATTCACAAACATGCCCTACTTGTGTGTGTAAAAGTCCACAGGCAATCTAAAGGAAACAAACTCTGTGTAAACTTTGTTTCCTGTAGATTCTCTGTTTTTCCAAGGTTGGGGGATGATTTGTAGGTGTTCAGTTTATTAAAACCTTTTTACTCTTTTGGTCTTATTCTGTTTTTCCCGTCTATCCTCCAGTGGATGGTATGAGCGAGGTGAGCTCACTTCACGATGGTCCAGACTCTCGAAATCGTGGTCGGGCCAGACCGCCTCAGCTTACCACGGTGTACGATGATGTGGACGGAAACATGAGCACCATCAGCAGCGTCTCTCAGCACATCCGACGGGACGAGCCCAGGCGGGGACCTGACAATCGAGGACGTGCACGCTCCATGGAAAATTTGGACGATATCAGCCGCAATTACGGAGACAGAGATGACTATCCGCCAGCACGCCGAGATGGTGGGGCTAGAGGCGGCAGAAGAGGGTAAGTGACTGAATCATTTCGAATCACGCCAAATTAATGCATTAACTTGACAGTCCTTCTTAACCCATGACTTTCCTCTGTCCAGTTCGGATGACGAGTGGAGCAGCAGTGGACGAGGATACGACCCTGTCTTTGATGACCGTCGGCGCCGTGATTACTCTCCTGATGCTCGTCCTCGGCGTGGAGACTCCTTCTGTGAGGCTGGTTTTCAGGGCCAGCGCAGCCGTAGTCGTGATGACCTGATGGATCTGGAGCGTGACCGTGGCCGTGGAGGTCGGGACGCATACGATGACAGCTTCCTGAGGGAAGCCATGGAAAAAAAGAAGCTGGTCGAGCAGCAGAGAGGCCACAGCCGTGAGCGGCTCGACAGCGAGAGCGACCGTTCTGACCGCTACAGGGGGCCACACGGCGGACCGCCACCTCTGCCGCTCGCCCCGCCCTCCGGAAACCCTAATCGTCATGGAAACCATAGCAACTTCCCACCTCCATCCCCTCCCTACACTGAGGACAGTGACAGTTTGCCATCGTCCAAGAAGAGCAACTTAAAAAAGGTAAGAGCCAGATTCAAAAGTGCTTATTAAAACTTATGTATTGTTTATTTCATTATTATTTTTTGTTGTTGTTGAATTGACAATGAACTCAAAACCACTTTTAAAGATCCAGCTAAATCCAGATGGCCTTGCTGGTGTTGTTAATGTTTCCTTAAACTAAACCTATTAAAAATAGTTTTTGTTTATGAAAATTAAAAATAAATGCTAATTCAAAATGTTAATAAATACTATAATAATATATAAATAATACTAAACTGGTTTATTAGTACCTGGCTGAGTTTAATTTGTATTTAAATTCATATTACAGTATAGTTCAATTGATCATTGTTGTGCAATAATCATGGTATGTAATGTGTTTCAGAATAGTACAAAATGTGAAGTAATCTATATGTAAACAATATACAAGCAAATAACGTATTGCGTATATATTAATAAATACGAGTAAGAATGATGCAGAATAATAAAATATTCAAAAAGCAGGGTGGAGCAGTGATGCTAGAAAGAAACAAGTATGCAAAATGACAAGAAAGATATTCACAGCTGAATGGCAAGAACCAGCCATTTAGTTAGTTATTTAGTTAGCTATTTTATGTGCCTAGGTACAGAGTTCAGCAAGTCAGGAGTCAAGGGCCCTGCTGGGGGAAAAAAAAACGGGGACATGCTACCATGATTAAAACAAGCTTCCGTCTTTAGCTGAAACATTCTAAAAAGTAATAAAAGTAAAACATTTTTCTGGTCATTTTCCATGGCAAATTCAGGCTTTTCTTCTTTGTCAGTGTTAAGTTAAGCTCAGCAGATAAGGATACAGTGCTTTAATGTTCAGTTATGTTATATTTTTATACTTGTACAAAGTTCTGCTGTGTTTTCTTTGTCCAGAATGGAGCTGTGAGCAGAGAGAGTCTGGTGGTGTGACGCTCAGGTGAAAATGATGCGTGCGTGTGTGTGTGTGTGTGTGTGTGTGTATCAGTGATGCAGCTGTGTGTGTTTCCTCTGCCCTTTCATGTCACTTATATTTGTGTGTTTGTGTTTGGCTTGAATGCTGAGAGGATTTTTAGTTCATATTCAGATGTCTTAAATTATTATGGGATAATTGAAACAACTGATGCTTTTATGGTTTTAACTGAACTTTTTATGGTTTGGTTCCTCCCATGAACATTTTTAACAGCAAGTATTCGAAAAATAAGACTGCTGTGACGCTCAGCATAAGCAGTTGTTTTTACTGTGCACATATGTCTAGTTCTGTATTTTAATAGACCTTTAATAGGTGTTTATTTGTGTCTTGGAAAAACCTATGAACAATAGAGCCTTTCAAGTTTTCAGGTATTGATTTTTAATTATTTTGATGTAACATAAAGAAGTGATCTTTGTATGGACTGAAATTCTATTATTGTTCCTGTAGTCTGAGGCATCATGCAGTTTCTGCAAGTGGGAGATTGTATAATGTTGTATTTTTAATATTTGCACATTTACAAATGCAAGAACATGTACCCGAGTGTGATAATTTTTTTTTAATGCTGTTTTTTTTTTTACTCTAATCTCACATTTGGTCATACAGTGGTTTATCATTTTTCTATTTATGTACAGTCCTGTAATGTCAATTTTCAATAAAGCTTTTCTATTGTATTTAGGTTTGTTGTCTTGTTAGGGATCAAGGTGACATACTTTGACATTTTTTTACATTGTTTGGTGTTTCTGGATTGTGACCACTAGATGGCAGTTTACTATCCATGTACAATAATGTCAGGGAATGCCATACTGAATTTAAATGCATGTGAAAGCATTTTTTTTAATTCGTTATCACTGAGCCAAGGTATTTTATTTCTATGTTTACAATATGAATATGCATTCAAATGTAACTTGTTCTGAAGTTAACGTTCCTGTTTTTAGCAGCCAGTTTAGATGTCATTGGTCCTGTACATTTTTTTAACATGTATATAAAAGAGTGCTTTCTTTTAGGTGTTAGCACATCTAGTCTGTTATCATGTGCTGCCTGGTGGGTTTAACAGAAAAAAAAGCATCTTTTCTAACCTAGATGGAGAAGGACCAACAACTGCCTCTGTCTCAGAGTGAGACGTACTTTCTGAAATCCAACGTTGGTGGCCTGCCAAGATCACAGCAGAGAGGTAGCCATCGAAGCTTTCATCCATCTGGTGTCTTAAAGCAGCCATTCCTTCAGATAGACAGGAAGATAGGTGAGAGCTACTTAAGAAACAGCATCAGCAAAAGGGCAGCTGACCCCTACGGTTCAGACAGCTGTTTAAAAGCAGATCTGTTTGTACTTAGGTGGTCTTGTTAAAACATCTGAGTAATAAACTGTTTTCTCTTACAATTACATTGCAGGGTTGAGTGCAACACTACATGAGAAGCATATTCAAACCAACATGGACTTGAGGTATGTGAATAATTTTGCAAAACAGGCCAGAATAAATCATAAAGTGATCGTTTTTCCAGCTTCTCTTTGAAATACAGTAACATTTGTAGTGATTCAGTTTGCTGCAGTGGTGTTTTTCTGTTTGTAAAATTGAGGCATTACTAATCAGGGTGCTAATGTGAAACCACAATAACAATCATGTGTCAGTGGCACATGCCACCAGATAGAGAGGGGTGGCAGAGAGAGAGAGGCAGGGTGGGAGGGATTGAGATTCAATAGGAAAAGAGACTGGCATTGCTCTTGAGTTATCGGCATTCTCTCTGCTTGTTTACACACAAGACCGTCTGATAAGGTAAGTCTGATCTTTTTAAGCCAGCATCCATAAATGATATGCCAAGCATGTGTGTATATGCACATATGTATATGTGAGGTCAAGAAATGTTAGAATGTTTATTTGGCAGTTCACGATTTATAGTAAAAATTAAGTAGATTTTTTTTTACTACCATTTTATTTTTATGAAATATTTTACTGCTTTATTTAATATTTATTGTTTTATAAGTTTTGTAAGTAATTTGCCAGATATTAGAAAAAATATTTTAATATATGGAATGACGTTTATTCTCAAAATAATTATGTATCCAAACCAGTGAAATGCATTGAGATCTAATGTTTTGGTCATACAAAATGTTTTAGTCAATGCCTAAAATTATTTCATCTCTAAAGTAGGATTATAATGTTTGCCTGATTCTCTCTTGTCTACCTGCCAGTGAATCAAACCCCACTGTGGATGAATGCCCAATAGTTTTTGGAGATGTGAAGTGTGTTGTCATCTGGCATTTGCACTTGTCCAAGTGCACAATATTAACTGTATGACCCATTACTCTCAGTGCTAGCTGCCTCATTTGCAATTTCTAGTGTGTTTGTGCACTGTAGTTCAGTTTAGTTAAATACAATTAATGAAGTTGTATTTCATGCATTATAGTGGATTGTAGTAGATTTCAAACTAAATGGTGTTTACTTTAAAGAAATACAGCCTAAAACACACATTTAACAAAACAAAAATAAGTTTGTTAGGGTTTTAAAAGATAATAAAAATCTTACTGTTCAAAATTAAGTACTCTCTGTGGCACTTGTTCATAATTATTGTGTTTCTTTACAACTGCTGTTACTCTGCTGCTAGAACTTCTCAAAGCCATTGAAAATGGGACCTTTTGGCTAAAAAAATATTTATACTGCATTTATTTGCAGATGCCATTTGGTTTGATATTTATTATCTCGTGCAATGTCATCTTTAAGTGTGGCTTAAGTGTCCAAAAACATTTTAAGGTCACTAGGCTTATCCATAATGAGCATTATGAAAAATATTTCTATCATGACGACTCTCGGAGGGATTGGCATGGTAATGTACA